CGGGCTCTGAGCTCTCATCTCCAGAATTCGATTGGTCCCCTCCTCATGTTCACATCAGGGCTGCTGCAGTTCTAAACATCACACTCTAATGAGACTTCTTCAAAACCAAGAAGAAGACAGCTAGCCAGGTAATGAATGAGCACTCCTTATATGCTTTTCTCTTTTTATTGGAAAGTCCATGCATTGGAAATGGAAAATATTATAGAGAAACTCTATAGTGCATGTCCCTTACATGGCATTGTTAGCAATGGATACACAGCATATTAAGATGGGCCAGGCTAGCCCTGGTTACAAGCAAGCCCTGAAATCTCAGTGGCCTACCTCAGTGCGCTCCTTGCTCATCTCCCAATCTTTGTGGGCTGGTGGTCCTCTTTCATCCTATAGTTATACATGCGGAACAGATGGCCCCCATGGTCATCGCAGCAGGGAAAGAGGGAGATGAAAGTGGAGCAATAGTCTGTAACTTGCCAGACTGGAACCAATGCATCTCACCTTCCTATTGTTCAGGACTCAATCCCAGGGCCCCGCCTACTGTGAAGGTGTCTGGGAAGGGCAACCTGCCCAGGAAAGGAAACAGCATGATGGACACATGGCCTTCCGTGCCACACATGGCCACCCCCAGATGTCAGCGACAGAGAGGCTGGGGGATGGCTGCTGGGTGGGAGTCTGCCCCTCCATCCCAGTTCCACCTGCCCCTACAGCCGGCAAGTCTGGCCAGGTTTGTGGCAGGGAGGGCTCTCCTGCTCTGGGCTTCCGTGGCCTTGAAGGAAACCAAGACATTTTCTCTCAATACTGAGGATCGTTAAGTGAAAGACACTGAAAACGCAAGGGAACCCTCTGCCTCAGCCGCTACTTGCCTGATGGCAGGACATGAACCCTTCCTTGCCGGAGACGGCACCTGCTTATTGCCCTGAGAAGGCACCAGCGGGCCCCAGAGGCATCTGGGAGCAGATTTTACCCTCTTCCCACAATTTCCCTCGTAAAAGACTGGAACTGCTCTCTCCTTTGTCTTCTCACTAAGTAGGATTTATGGTTCTTTGTTAAAATACCACTTAAGCAAAGCCCCTGTGCTGCAGCCTTGAGAAAGAAATACTTTTAAACCGAAGCCTCTCCCGTGATGGGTACAGCACGTGTTGATAAACTTCTGCTTGTTTCTCTTTTGTGAATCTGACTTTTTTTTTTTTCAGAAAAGTGCCTCAACTAAGAAGCTAAGAAGGGAAAGAAAAGAAGTAATGTTTTCTCCCCTCCAGCCTCCTGGGCCTCCCTCTCCATGCCCTTCTCTCTCAACAGTACAGTCCTCTTCCTCTGGCCTGCAACCCTCTCCTCCCACCTCACCCCAAACAGGCTGCACCTTCTTTTATATTTTTAATTTTTAATTTTTTTTTTTTTTTTTTTTGAGACAGCATCTCTCTCAGTCTCCAGGGCGTCATCTTAGCTCACTGCAGCCTCAAATTCCTGGGCTCAAGCAATCGTCCTACCTCAGCCTCCCAAGTAGCTGGGACCACAGGCATGCGCCACCATGCCCCGCTAATTTTTCTATGTTTTGTAGAAATGGGATCTCACTCTTGCTCAGGCTGGTCTTGAACTCCTGGCCTCAAGTGATCCTCCTGCCTTGGCCTCCCCAAATGCTAGGATTATAGGCAAGAACCACCATGCCCAGCCCTGTAGCTTCTTAAAGTCTGAGATTGCCTCCCTTTCCTGCTTTCATGCCTAGATCAGGGTCTGCCACATGGTAGGTGCTCAGCAGATATTTTTAAAGCAACTGAGTTGTTTCTTTTAGAAACAATGATTTCAACCATTTGTGTCTAAGAAAATGCTTGGCTTTTATCTCTAGAATTTCTGGTAGGTTCATCGGAGAGCAAGAAGTATGATTCAACCTTTAAACAAATATGCATGTAAAAGAGACATAAAGCAGACGTCAAAAATGTGGCCATAAATAAAGTAAATATTGGATCAATGACATCAACCTATGTAAAACATTTCTTTACGGAAACTGACTTTTGGAAACCCACTTAAAATGTCTTAAAATACTTGGCTTTGAAACTTTAACTAAAACTACATCTCCAAGATTGAAAGTGTTGAGAGTCCCTTGTGTGCCCGGGGAAGGCACCACAGTAACAGTGACTGAGACAAAAATTGGGTCATTTGATATATACTCTTTAAGAAATTTAATTAGGGGCCAGGCGCGGTGGCTCACGCCTGTAATCCTAGCCCTCTGGGAGGCCAAGGCGGGTGGATCGCTCAAGGTCAGGAGTTCAAATCCAGCCTGAGCAAGAGTGAGACCCCGTTTCTACTAAAAATAGAAATAAATTAATTGGCCAACTAAAAATACATAGATAAAATTAGCCGGGCATGGTGGCTCATGCCTATAGTTCCAGCTACTTGGGAGGCTGAGGCAGGAGGATCACTATAGCCCAGGAGTTTGAGGTTGCTGTGAGCTAAGCTGACACCATGGCACTCTAGCCCGGGCAACCAAAGTGAGACTCTGTCTCAAAAAAAAAAAAAAGAAACTTAATTAGGAAAGCAGAATAAGTGAGGTGCTTTATCAGCAGGAATTATCACCCCTATCGTAGTTGAAATGTATTGAGGACTAACTCTGTGCCAGATATCGTGCTGAGGACCTGACATGCATTATCCAATTTGATCCTCGGCAGTGCCATAAGGCAGATACTATTCTCATGCCCATTTTACTCATTAGTATAGTAAGCTTTACCAAGCTTCTATAGCTGCTAAGGGGAAGGGGGCGGCAAAAATTGAGAACCAAGTTGTCTGGTTCCAAAGGCAACGACTTTTAACTGTTAAAGCTTTAGACTTGCTCCCAGGTTCAGGGTACTCAAAACAAATTTGGCAAGTATCTTGCTTATCCATTACTGTGTAACAACACACCCCAAAACCTAGTGGCTTAAAACCAAAATTTATTCCTACCTCTCATGGTTCTGTGGATTGACAGGGCTCAGCTGGGTGGTTTTCTTGTGGAGTCTCTTATGCAGTTTCATCAGATGGCCTTATGGCCTAGCTTCAGAAGTCACACAGTGTCACTTCTGCTGTATTGTGTTACTTAAACATGGAACACGAGACCAGCCTAGATTCAAAGGGAAAGGAGCACACACAAGGGGATGAATCCCAGGAAGCCTCCTGCACTGGGGGCCCTCCTGAAGACTGGCTACCACACGATGGACCTGGCTGAATGAGCAAACTACATGACATCCCTCACCTGTGCTCAGGACCATACCTCTTAGGACTTTCACATCCACTTTTTTTTTTTTTTTTCTTTTTTCTTTTATTTTTTTTCTTTTTCTTTATTTTTTTTTTCTTTTCTTTTTTTCCCTATCTTGGCTATTGTGACACATCCACTTTTTATTTGTTCACAGGATTGTGAGGCAGACAGGCCAGGGTCAAGATTAGTTCTCTATTTTATAGGTATGGACACTATGGCTCAGTGAAATTGACTTATCAAAAGTCACACAGCTTCTAAATGTGGGTGTGGGATGTGAACTTTGTTCTGACTCCCAGCCCTGCAAACTTCACGGAAGTTTCCAAGCTGCCAAGGCACAGAACTCTTTGGCACGCTGAACGAAGCAGGAAGGAGACAGAGCCTCCAACAACACAAAGTAATCAAGGGGAAGCCACCATGGATCTAAATTTAAAATGAAAAAGGATATCCCAGTTGTAAGAATCTTACAACATGATTATACCTACTATAATAGATGATGAGGAATGGACATGCCTCCATTGTTCCTAAGAGTATGATTTGGTGCAAACTATCCCGATGTGCAATAGATACCAAAGCCTTAGAGTTTTGTAAAATCTTTGACTCAGAAATTTCATATCTAAAAAATTTTCTAAGGAAAAATATTTGTACATGAATATACAAGGTATACATATTCATGTACAAATATTTTGTTACTGCTATGTGGTCTGTAGGATTTTTGCTAATACGGAAAAATTTTAAATAATTAAATGTCTAATAAGGGGGGTTTTGTTAAGTAATGGAAAACTCTTCTGCTATTATATTAATGTTGTAGAAAATATTTAGTGCCACATAAAATGATCACAACATTATTTATGGGAAAAAGCATGTTTTAAAAGAGTATTATAATACTATCCCATTTTTATTTAGAAAAACCATCCATGTGGGCATACTCACAGAAGAAGAGACAAGAAAGAACACCAAAACACTAATAATAGTTATTTCAGGATGGTGGGATAATAAGTGATTTTTCTTTAATTTTACTTTTCCCCCTTTTTCTTCTCTATATTTTCAAATTGCTTATCGGATGTATTGCTTTTATCTTTTTTTTTTTGAGACAGAGTCTCGCTTTGTTGCCCAGGCTAGAGTGAGTGCCGTGGCGTCAGCCTCGCTCACAGCAACCTCAAACTCCTGGGCTCAAGCGATCCTTCTGCCTCAGCCTCTCAAGTAGCTGGGACTACAGGCATGCGCCACCATGCCCGGCTAATTTTTTCTATATATATTAGTTGGCCAATTAATTTCTTTCTATTTATAGTAGAGACAGGGTCTCGCTCTTGCTCAGGCTGGTTTCGAACTCCTGACCTCGAGCAATCCGCCCGCCTCGGCCTCCCAGAGTGCTAGGATTACAGGCGTGAGCCACCGCGCCCGGCCGGATGTATTGCTTTTATATGAGTTTTTGAAATGAAAAGAAGAAAAGGATTTAGGAAAATATGGAAGATTTTATGCTGATTTCAACAAACAAAATGGAAGATATATGTAAGAACAATATAGTACCTTATATTTGACTCTTCAAAGTGCTTTCTGATTCAAGGCAATAACTCGACAAGGATGATCAGACAGGTGTTATTATTTCTATTTTGCACATGAGAAAAGTAAGGCTCTCAATGGTTAAGTCTGTAAGATCAACTTAGCCAATTAGTGACAAAACCAGGACAAGAGCCAAGTCTCCTGGGCCAAGTCATGACCTCAGATGAAGTCACAAGGGACCCTAAAGTCACACCTGGCTTTGAATTTGGAAAGTCCACTTTCTATGCCACTTAACCACCTGTTGGGGACCCTCTGTTTTAGCCTGCCCAGAATCCCTTGCCCTGTTTTTTGGTCTCAACACTCTGACTTTTCTCTGTGGAACCTGCCCTCCCTCCATCTCAGTTCAGATTCCAGATGGACGTGTGTCTCCAGCCCTGCCAACACGAGCCATCCTTGGGAAGTCTGCCCACAGTGATAGGAGAGAGTTGCTTAGTTGGTGGGAAGTAGGCAAGAGCTATGGATGGGCTTCCTGAAACTAAGCCAATGCAGAGAAGAGTCAGAGTCAGATGCCCAAACAAGTTGTCTGGATGTCTGGATGCAGGTGTGCTTAAAGCTAGAGCCGCCTCCTGGACATCTTGCTTACCTGAGCCAGTGCATCATTTTGCTCCTTTCTTTTCCTCTGCCTCCCCTTTCTCCTCCTCCTCCTTCTTTGTTGGAAGTTTGAGTTGAATTCCTGTTAGTGTTAACCAAAGACTCCTGACTTTTATAGTCTCCAAACTCACAGTGTTTTCACCTGTAAAGTGGGGATAATGATAATAATGCTCACCTCCTACACAGGATTGGTGTGAGACTCATGAGTCAATACAAGTAAAGTGCTTGTCACATAGTGAGTGGTCAGTAAATGCTACCTATTAAGGAGTTAGGAAAAGCTGAATTCAGAAATTTCATTCTCCCCCTTAAAAAAAAGAAAGAAAAAGACCTGTCCATGCACAAAAATATAGGGAATAGATCCCTATAATTATGAAAAAAGGGAAAGCACTGTGTCAATCTGCTCATCAGGGAGTCATTATTCCAGAATTTATGGCCTGGTATTACTGACCAGACCCTCTCTCTCTCTTTCTCTCTCTCTCTCATACACACACACGTGCACACTCACCCCCTCAGGGCCTCTCTTCAATGCTAGGTGATGCTGGATCCTCAGGAAAACTGAACTGTTTCATTGGCAGTCATCAGAAACAGAAATTGCAAAGGAGGAGGAGAAAGGGAAGTGAAGTTGTTGGCAGGACAGAAAGAGCTGCTTTTGCAATGCAGACTGGCGAGAGGGAGAGTAAACTAGGAGAAAGTTAGCCGGGCCTTAGAGCCTCGTTTCCGCCCGGTTGCAGAAAGAGAGGACATGGTGTCTGTACTCTGAAGATGCTCAGCTGAGGCTGGTTGTTTGTCCAGGGAGCCAGGAGTCTGACGAGGCCAGGCCAGAGGGCTCCAAGGCTGAGCAAAATGTTAGCACGGGAGGAGCAAAATTTAAACAGGCACACACATACACACGCATGTGTGCAAGTGTGCCCATAAACACAACTACTCTAGCTGGCTTAAACAGAAAAGGGCATTATATAATTCGAAGGATCTCCGACCGGAGAATTGGCCTTGGAGACTTCCCAGCCTGGGACAATGTCTGCACGCGGGGCAGCTCCAGTAGAGTGCCCACGGTGGCCACCCTGGGCACGGACACCGTGCACTGCTGGTGCTGGGCACTGGATGCCAGAAGTCCACAACTGTGCCCTAACCCCTTGCCCCAAACCGGATTCTGTGCAGCCCCGACTTGCTCATGTCCTGTCCTGCGAAGCCATGTGTGTCATGGTGCTTCCCATCGGCTATACCTACGGGACATGCCTTGCTGCAAGGGGACTGGGGAAACCAGGGATGACCTTTACCTCGGGGAGGTGGGATTCACACCGTAAGAAATTCCCCAGTCACCTGCTGGGGTTCAAAAGGACAACCATCAAGTATGATATATGTCCCCACATAGCATTGCTAGCTTATGCGTATGTGTGTGTATGAAACAGGCACATGATCCACGTCTCAAGGTCCCCTGTTAGGGGACTTTCCTCCTTAAAAATCCAAAGAATTTGAGCCACCACCTGCAGCAGAAAGCCCAGTCCTGTCATTTAGATGTCACTTGGCACCTCTGAGTCCAGACGACAGCTCCAAGCACCATCTGGTCATCCTCTGCTTGTGGCTCTGCTGGTCCAGGTTGGCACTGCCCCCCAGATATGGACCCAGGTCCCTTTCTCCCGCCAGCCCCTGAAATGAAGAGCTGACTCACCTTGAGAGAGGTACCGGCCCATGGCAAAGACACTTTCCCCCAGGGGAACAGAGCAGTTTGGCTCTGATGTGTCACCTTGTTATTCCTTGGGTTTCAACCTTCTGGTTTTCCTGTTGCAGAAACAAAGACATTAAAGCGGCCTCAGAGTTGAACTCAGCTGTCAAACCTAGGATGCAGGACAGAAGGAATTTTTTAGTGCGTTTTGGTCTTGCCCCAGATGAAACCCTGTTTTGGGGAAGAGAGAGGAGAAACTGCCCCCAGGGGGTTCCTCCCTTTGAGAAGCCCAGAGAGCAGGTGAAGGGTGACACCCCAAAGCGGTTCTGCCCCACAGTCCCCAGTGGCTGGGCCTGTTGGAGTCTCATGGGCCTGGGAAAGGGGAGGCAAAACCACAGTGCGGAACGATTCTCTTCTTCCTCAGCGTCCCCAGGTCTACATTTCCCCAGCCAGCGACCGTCAGGCCCGGGCCACACTGCCTGTGTCTGCCCTTCCCCCGCCCCTGGAGGCCGCTTCCCAATTCATTTCTGTCCGTCACTCAGTGCTCGTCTGCGGCATGACCGGCTCCTCTGTGCATCCTGTTCTGAGTCACCTGGGAGGGCCAGCTGCTACCCTGCCCACCTCCCATGACATTTCATCTAAAACCACTTCAGAACATTTACATGGTGATCTTATATTTATCTATGCTTCGTGAGTTTCCCTCTAGGACAATATATCACTTTCTGCAGTGCCCTCAACAGCTGGCAGAGTGCCTCTCGGCGTTTCTGAGTGGAAAGAAAGATGGATGGGTGGGTAGATGGCCCAGTGAATGAATGTGTTGGTGAGTGTGTGGGTGGATGGGTGGATGGGTGAATAGATGGGTAGATGGGTGGATGGTGGGTAGATGGATGGTTAGGTGCATGGATGGGTGGGTGAACAAGTGGGTTGGTGGCTGGCTGGCTGGCTGGCTGGACTGGAGGGTGGACACCTGAGCTTTCAGAGACAATGGTCACTGTAGTCAATGGCCACCAGGGGGCAGTGTGGAGCGGCTTTTCAAGGCCTCCCTTCCCTCTTCCACCAGGCCCTGGCTGCAGAGCTTCTAGAGCTCATTTTGTTCAGACTTTTCCTTCCTGAGGGAAGAAGTTGAGGCCCAAGAGGGGAATGGCTGTGCCAGGGGCACGAGGCTCCTAAGTGGGCTCTCGTGGGTCCAGCGCCCTCTCCAGTACAGCACGCCCCTAACCCTCCCTCCGGGGCTGAGGGCCAGATGCTGCCAAGCATCCGGCAGCTTTCCGTGCCCTGGACGCCCTTCCTAGGAGGCTCCATCGGTCACCTGCTGGTGGCCACAAACTGCATGGAGCAGATGGGCCACCGAGCCACAGTGCACATTGGGCCACGGCCAGGCCGAGTCACCATGTGTCTCCGGTCCCTTGGCAGGCTGCCTTGGTGGGGAGGGCCTCTGCAGACTCCCCTCTCCCCGCCACGGGCCCAGATCAACTGGACTCATATTTCCCAGGAAAGGAAGAACCCCACACTCAGAACCTGTCCTGTGGCACATCATCCCTCTCTCAATGTTTACTTCTCCTGTGTACCATTCCCTCTAGCCCTGCTTTTTAATTTCTACAGTCTTTTCTCTGGGGCAGTGCGGGCGGGGTGGGGAGAGGACTAGTGTGGTCCTGCCCTGCCCACCTTGTCCTTAGAATCTTAGTAGCCTCCTGCGGACCAGGCCTGAGACAGCAGAGACAGCGGGAGGGCGAGCTAAACCTCGCATTTTCCTTTTCACTCATCTATTCAATTATTCAGCTATTAAATATATTTTAAGTCCCTAATATGTGTCAGATGCTAAAAAAAAGAAAAATCTTACATTTCTTAAGCCCTTACTATTCTAAAGACCTGACACTCATTCTCTTATATTTATGTAAGCCTGTGAGGGAAGTATTGTTATTCCCATTTTACAGATGGAGAAACAGAGATCTGGAGAAGCGACCTCACTTGCCGGAGAGAGCACAGCCTGGAAGCTACAGAAGCAGGACTCAAACCCAAGAGGCCGCCGTCTTCATATGGTCGGGCATTTCCTGCAAATGTTCGTGGTGAGGATTATGGCTCAGGCCTCCTCCCCCTTGGCTGTGGCAGTGTTGTGAATGAAGCCCGCAGCCCTGAGAACCAAGGGGGTGAGCAGGGGCAGCAGAAACCCCTAGGCCTGGGATCCTGGCCACCGAAGTACATTGTAGCTTGGTGACTCCTGGAGTGGACGCCCAGAATGTTCCATCAGGTTCGATTCTGCAGCTGCACGTCCCTACACTGTGTGGGACCCAGCCTTAGGGGGGTGAGTGAGGAACCTGAGTCTGTCCCATTGGGCCTAACAAGCCGGGCGGGCCGGCGCATCTCCCTTCGCCATGCCAAGCCCTCCTGCCGCCCCGTCTGTGAAAGGGGACACTCCACCATCTGCCCTGGAGAGCTGCCTTTGCAACGAGACAAGAGCGTGGATGTGGAAGGGTTTTGAAATTCTGAGCTCTTTGCTTGTAGACGCACGTGTGTCATCATTGCCACATGCCGGGCTGGTGCGCCTTGCCTGAGGTCTCCTAAGCAGCAGTCCCTGGCCTTCAGGACTGCACAGGTCATGATCCTTTCTTCTATTATAAATCTCTGTGACTTACATGGAGGTGTCAGCTTTTTCACATAGGATCGTTTCTTTTTTAAAATGACTGCCACAAACACTCTGTCCTAAAAGAAAAAGAAGTTTAACAACAACAAAATTATAGGCAGGACATAATCTTGCAATGAAAAGTAGATGTGTTGATGTGTTTAGCCTTGGAAAAAATTACGTGGTCTACATTTTTCTCATTTCACTTTAGACCGGTGGAAACGGAAGCAGGGACGGGCCTATGGAGGGTTGGTGTAGTGCATGCACAGCGGTGTCCTTCTACCTTGCCACCAAGCCTGGGTAAGAAATGGGCTAAATATGTCACAGGACAGTTATGTGCATTGAGGGAAATGAAGGAGAGAATAGGAAAATAATATGCTGGGAAAAAAAATTTAAGTGCATATTATAAAATAGTCTGTGCACCATGACCCTCATTTTATAAGATACCCATATGCATATAGACAGCCCAGAAGCACAGAAAAAATTCTGGAAAGTTATACTGTAAAATCCCACAGGGTTATCTTTGCATGGGAGAATGATGAATCAATTTATTTTTTCTGACTTATTTCTTGCATTTTGTAATAAGAAGCATAAAAAAAATAAAGAAGCCAATATAAAAAAAGTGATGTAAGAGCAATTGTGCAACACTGTGCAAGACCTTGGCTAGTGGTATCCTTGGAACTTGCAGAATTGCAGTGGAGACGCTTCTTTACTATGGAAAGCTCTTCTGGGCATGTGCTGATGTCACTGACCGGCCATCTGGGCATTTCTAGGGCTGGGCCCAGAGCCTGGCATGAGGTACTTGCTCAATCGTGTGTCAAAAGGACTTCTTCCCTTACGAGGCTGGCCACTGTGGCTCCTGGCCAAGAGGGGTCTATAGAGAAAAACTGCCACTTAAGTGGAAACGGACCATTCCTAAATCACTCTCCTTTATGAGTTTATATATATATTTGGGAGCTTTGATTGCATCTTTCCTTGAAAGACTGGAATAAGGTGATCACCAAGATCAGTTTTCTGCATTTGAGCTCCCATGTTGGGGCAGTCTGGCCCTCATTAAAGCAAAGACTGTCTTCAAAACATGGGGGGAGGGGAGGGCAGTAGTGTTGGATCTTCTATTGATCAGGCTTCTTGGTGACCAGCAACAGGCGTTCGTGCATTATGGCCAATTTAAGCAGGAAAGAGATGCATTGGAAAGGCTCCTAGTAGCTCCCAGTTTAGACAGGAAGACTGTAGAACCCAGGTGATGAAAAGGGCAGGACCAAGAGCACTCAAGCTATAGGAGCCACTGCTCTTGTCACCAAGCCTTACTTCCTGGACAGAATTTGGTTGTCTTACGATTCTGATTCTTGAGAGGTTCACTGTGGTGATGAAGAGGATGACTTTGGATCCAGACTGCTTGGTTTCAAGGCACACCTACCAGGACCTTAGGCCACTTCCCTAACTTCTCTGTCCCTCAGTTCCCACTTCCATGAAATGGGGATAATAAAAGCACCAACTTGCATTAGTTATATGTTGCTAGGAAACAAAGTAACCCCAAAATTTAGTGGCTTAAAAC